TGAAGTGCCCTCAACAAACTTATCAAATATGTACCCAAACGTTATAGACTTCGATAAGGTCTTCACAAGACAGCGTTGACGGGGAAGTAATTCAACACCACGTCCTGCATCAAGTCTTTATCAACCTCATTCAACAGCTTTATAACGATGGCATGTATCAGGTGACCCACAACGGAAAACTCAGCGAGGCGTTTGAAATTAACACAGGAGTAATACAAGGACACCTACAACTAACAGCGATGATATTCCTAGTTGTGGTGGACTGGATGTGGCACACTGTATGTGTGGAGTGAGAAAACAGGAATTTGTGAGACCACCAATAAGAAGACTCCAGCAGATCTGGATTTCGCAGATGATATATGTCTAATATCACACAAACTCGAAAACTTTCAGGTGAAAAGCAAGAAACTGATAGAAGAGGCAAGCAGTGAAGACAGGATCCCAGGTGAACATAATGAAGATGGAGGCGATGAAGATAACTAACTAACCGCAACAGCAACAACAACCAGCACCAATCACCAACAACGGGAGGGATTTAACAGAAGTTACTTCCTGCCTTCAGTTATCTAAGAAGCATCGTTTCAACTACAGGTGAAACGGATGAAGATATCAAAATCAAAGTTGGAAGAGAGAGATACGCTTTCATTAACCTGAAATCAGTTTGGAAATCTTCTGCAATCCGCCTCAGCATAAAGAACAAAATTCAGATTAAGCCTAGAATAACTTTTTGCTCTCAGAATAATCCCTATTAATTTGCTTGGTGGATTTTCACTAGCTTTATCTATTTACAAATGCATTTTACGCTTTGCATTATTTAATGGTTGCAGTTCTCATAAAAAAACAAAAAACATTACGACTAGTAGGAGATATAATTTGGTCATAATAGAGTCATTTCTTTTCGTTGCAGCAAGCTCTGATTTTAAGTGATTAGGCAGCTAAGCTTTTTAGGTGCCTCAGCAGCATGAAATGCAATCGTATGAAATCGATGAAAGTGATGTTTTTTCTTCTCCCAATATTTACCACGAATTTTTAAAAATTTCTTTATAAAATGAACAGAATATAATTTAATATCCAGCATACTTCATTAATTTATCAAATCAGGCAGCTTAATTCGATATTCGAAGACGTGTCTGTTCATATATTCATAGAATTTTAAATCTGGTTCACTGATTTTTTTTATCTCTCCTTATCCGATACCACTTACTCTTTCTCTGCGTGCTGGACTTTCCATATGTTGAAGTTTGGTAAGGCAAATATAACTAAAAGTAATGCTTCAAACAAGAACTTAATAACTGTTCCCATTCGACATTCCACTTTATTATTTCTAATTTTGAATATATTTGGATTTATGCTTTTCCAACTCTTGATTTCTATTCCTTGCTCAATAGTGCGCCACGAAATTCATCATTTTTTTTCATAATAACAAATCGAAATCCTTTTTATAGCGTATTTTGAGACTAAAAATTTGATTATTTCCCTCCATATTCATACTATCGATCAATAGTTATGTGTGTCAATTGAATTTGAAGAGGTTTATTATGTTTAATAATTACATCCTTTTCCCCACACTTATTTACTCCCCTCTAATCTTTTATTTTCTCTTTCTATGCATCTTTTTTTCTTTAAAATAACCACCTGGTACAGAGTAAACACAAGACGACTTCATTCAAATTAAGTATATATATGTATATGCGCAGATAAAACAAATTTAAATTCCTTTTTTGCAAGACTGTATTGAAGGATGAAACAAAATTAGAGTATTGCCTTAAATATTTCGTTCACCATTGTATGTGTGCATTAGTCCAATGAGACGCTAATTACGTCAATACGTACGGAACGACAATAGATTACAATGTTTGTTTTTACTTTTGATTAACTGGTATTTTTCAGAAATCTATAGTTCCTGATTATAAAATTACTTCTCATTGGATGTCATTGCAAATTCCATGAAAGATTGCATATGGCGTTTTATTCTTCGTTTCTTTTCTTTCCAAATCAGTTTCCTGCCGTATAATATTTGTACTCCCTTGTACTACTGATTTCAAAAATACTGACTTTATTATCGGTAAATTGTTAGTAAACTGAATAGTTTCGAGCTTGTCTATATTCATATTGTCTCAGTCAAATATATTACTGTATGTTTTATGAAGACCAGACGAGTTTTAGAATAAATGTTATCACAAAACAACATCAAATAAAGGGCATTTAAAAAACAAATGAGTTGGACAATTGTTTTGCTCCAATTTAAGTCTCCTTCATCGCTTACTAATTACTTAACGATCCCAAATCATGATAATTACTGGCTCGTGATGTTCATCGAATCGCGTATGAGACAAACTATGCGCCAATCCAATTGTATATTGGTGGTGTTATGCCCCAAGTTGTCAAACTTTGGAGATCTTGTTTTCATAGATAACATGCCAATTTAGAAAAACAGCAGATTCAGAGAATTATAATATTCCTTTCAATTTGTTCCTCATTGTCGGCTCTACACTAACATATAATATTTTGCATCAAAATGTTTCCCCGATCAAGTGGTTACTTTAGTTAATCACTTTTAGGTACTGGGGGGAGTGAAATTAATATATATATAATACACTCACTTCTTGAACTTCGTACCTCTACAATACAAACGTAATCTGGTTAGATGTCTGGTTCATCCGGTAAGAGTTATCTGTTCAAATGAGACGCTGAACGAAGAACTCAGTAATATTCACGATCTACTAAGTAAAAACGGATATCCAACTAAATTTGTGTACAAACATGAACTCAGAAAGTAGAAAGTCGAAGTTGCTAACTGTTCCCAAAAAGTCAGTCTTCTTGTGGTTACTACTCAATAGTGTCAATAGTGAGATCTTATCACAACATCTGAGAAGGACCTTCGAAAGGACTTTCAACGCAGCTAAGCTATGTTGTATATTCACCAGCCGACCAATACTTAGTTCAAGAAATAAAGGCAGACTGCCTCTTCGCCTCTTCCATGTGTATTTACCGGTTTAATTGCCCTTGCGGAGCTAGTAACACAGGGCGTACGATCGCGCAAGTTCTTCGTCAAATTTCTGAACACCTCACATCTTGGTTTGGCAAAGGTCTGAATAAAGTTGTAGGCAGCTCTATACTAGCTCATCACGTTAATACTGGACATCAGATTGATTCTAACAAAGCTTTTAAAGTTACTTATCGTATATCACCCAATCTCCTGCATGGTCTACGAGTACGACTTTTACATACATCAGAGGCAATCGGAAGTCCTCTGAACAAGCCAAATCTGTATGTTCAAAAGAAATTTGTACAGCCCCTTTCTTTGCCATGGCCAACTACATAACATGTGTTAAGTTTTTGAAAACAATTTCCCCTCCCCTTGTAACTCTCTTTTGACTTTGTTAATTTTTACAATTTTTACAATTCTAGCTTATTCTGTTAACTTGTTTGTATTTTACGTAACTCTTCTGAGTCATCCTATTCTTCTTAGTCATCATTGTTATTTTGCAAATTTATGGATTATGTAATAACTTGTTGCCAACGCCTAAGAACCAACTTATCTTGAATTCCGTAATTAATTTTCACCCCTCTTTTAAAACTTAGATATCTTGTTACTAACATCTATTAGTAATTCGTTGTGATGACCTTTAACCTCTTGATTTCACCCCCAACTATACCTAAAACTGATTGACTAAAATAACCACTTGGTTGGTAAAACATTCTGATGTTAAATGCTAGATGTTAGTGTAGAGCCGACGATGAGGACCTAATTGAAAAGGAATATAATTCTTCTCTGAATCTCCTTTTTTCTAAATGCGTAAATGGGAATTGCAAAATTACATGCTATAAGAATAAAACTTGTACACTGTAATAGAGTATAATTCCATTATGTGTAAAGTTTTTTTTTATTTTGATATGATTATGAACAATGAATTGTGCTCGAAACGTCATCAGTAAATATTACTGTATAACACTGTGAGACTCTATCAAAATAAATTTTACCCATAATGGAATTACATACCAGTTGCCGAATGATAAGTTTAAGTCATAAAATGTCGTTTCTTGATTCATTCATTTTCATTGTCACTGGTGAACATTGCTGTTGACTTTCAAGATGGGACAAAAAATACATGTCAAGTGTTCATTTATTTTTCAGCTGTACATTAAAACTCAACATGTCACTGGTTCTCTGAACAGTTTCAAGTAACTGCCCTCTCATTTATTTAAAGTAGATAAAAATGAATTCACATATTTAAAAATAAATGCGAAATCTATTTAAGTAATTTTTGGGTCTATAGGTACCATTGTATTTTTTTCTAGAACAATCTGCTTGAAAAAACAGCTAACTACTAGTCTAAATAGATTTAGTCTGACTGGCTTATTTTTTGCATATACTGAATCTTTGTAAATCTTATGGAGATTACTTAAAGATAACTCTTTCTTTTCAAATTAAGGACATGTAGAAAGGTGGCATTCATGTCTTAAATATTTCTCAATAAAAGATTTTTCAGCGTAACTTATTTAATTCAGCACGCTTTAATTCAATGTTTGTCTGTTTGAAGCATTTCGGCACTAAGGTCTGTGCGAAAAAAATTATTAATACGTATGTATAACCTTAGGGAAAAGTTTTTCCTCTAGGCTTCTTACACAGTATTTCTTCCAGGTCACAGATACATTTTTCTGGATGGAGCTCACCCTACTTTGCAGAAAAAAAAACATGTTAAAACTTCATTAATGACTGTTTGGGAAATTTTTAGTCAGTGCATTAGTCCTGTATTCAAGAACAAAGTGATGTGGGTTTCACCAAGAAGCCACCTTCAGTAGTCAAGATAATTCCATGGAGAAAGTTTGATTCGTTTTTTTTTAATGCGAAATGGCAAAAACTGACTGGCTCACAGTATTATTGCTTGAATAACTCCTTATCTGTGCATCCTTTTTTTGTTTTTCATTTCTTATTGTAGGCATCTCCTACTGAGCAAAGGACACACCACTTCTAATACTGAATAAATTTGATAATAATGATTAAATTTTATGGATTAGAAACACACAATGTCTATAATATTTCAATAAATGCAACAACGTATTTAAGCAATTCAACAGTGTTACTCACTACTTCAGAAAAAGTGGAACTACAACCAGGTTTAATTGCCTTAGTATCACTGATGGCCTTTGTACTCTTAGTTATGATTGCAACACTGTTATTACCGAAATCAATACAAGATAATCTGTTCCAGTTAATTTTGAATCAGACACCAGATCAAACATTTAATTACATTGATGTTGGTTTGTATAAAACTAGACACTCCATTTATCGTAAAGAAGTTTACTCTTTAGCAATGCAAGGCAACCAATACAGAAAACGAGAAGAAACGCATACCTTACTTAGTAGTGATAAGAGTAGCAATTCACACAAATTTAAAAATAATAGACAGATAAGACCATTAGCTACAAAGTCAGTTATTGCTTCCGTTTCAACTCCAGAGGATTATGAGAAGTCTGATCAGTGTTCGTGTTCAACATCAGTGTGTAAATCAACTCTCTCTTCATGCAACTGTCATATTCAAAATGACAGTGTTCAGATGAAAAACACAAAATTAGTGACGTTTTCTACAAAAACCTGCTGTAATGATAATAATGATGACGAAAATAATCATAATATTAATTGCAATAAAAATATTGACACTAATGTTAGCTGTGAAAGCTGTATGTATGCTGGTAGTCGACGAAATTCAACTTCAAATCTAGTCAGATATGATTCGTCAACTTGGAATTCATTTAATGTACTAACCACTTCCTTAAACACTAGATATTCCCTTCCTTTACGCTTTACTCAAAGCAGTCAAAGCATAGATTCATTAAAGAGACTTCAATCCTCACCAATATTCCCGAAATCAAAACAGTCATTGTTGTCAAGTAAACGTGTACGATTACAGCTATCAGATATTTATGTTGACAGATGTAAATAATGTGAATATCTTTCATTTTTATATTTAGAATACAAATGAATCTGGCTGGATAGTCAGTGTATATTATAGTTTACACAGTTGTATGTTTGTCATTTGCACAAAAGATGAAAACAGTACTTAATAACTGAAGTTAAATTCAAATTTGGTTAGCAGTACAGACAGTGAAGCACTGGGCTGGTAACCTGTCACTTGTCTGAATCTAACTGCAATCCAGGTAATCGTTTACCTTCAGTTATCTTTGTTGTATGAAATGCGGTTATTTTTTTTCTTCAGTTATTGCCTACTCAGTTTTTTGTAAATTATTCCCTTTTGTTCTTATAGTATAGACAAACAGAATAAATACTTTTTCACAGTTGTTTGCTTGTTTTTAATAATTTATGCGAAATGTACACATTGGGAGATGCTATTCTCAAGTTGAACTTGAGTGGGAGGGGGATATGACATAAACTAAACGAGTTTGATCTATATACGCTGCTATCCATGTTACTTCAAAAATATTACCTCTGAGTAGTATAGTTTATGAAACCACACAACATGGAAACCCTGAAATCATTCCCTTTCTTACTTACCTACTAATAACTTATTTTAAAATTGATTAAAAAGGTACATTAAAATTTTCAAAAGAATGGCTACTGAACAAAGAATACTCTTTTCGATAACTTTATCATCAGGTTCTACAGTTCTGTATGCATTATAGTGAATGAATTAGTGTTATGAACAACACTGATGTTCTTTAAATAACATCGAATCAATAATATCAATAGGTTACAGTTCAAAAGCATCAACATAACAATAAACTGAATGTCAGAAAATTGGGAAAGATAGTAATACAAACTCATGAATTTATAATCGCCACTGAAGGCCAGGGCAGTAGTAGTGGCTGGACTTGCTTCTTTTGTACACAAAGTACTGGTTGTTTCATGCGAATCACGATAGCCTCTGCTGTTTGGAGCATATAGTACCTCGACGGTTTTGGAGATTTATTTGGTACTCGATAGGATTCCTCAATGTTGGCTTTGTGACCGCTTTGGACCAGGAGGTCTAATATCTAACTGTTGTTGGTTTTTGCTACACCTTTACTTAACCATATTGGGAGATCTTCTGGAGCACGAAAAATCAAGTTCCTAGAGCAGCGGCAGATATAACTCGCTCCACAAGCGCAGTTGAATTGGTAGATACAATTGGAAGTGGCTAGTCTAGGTACTTCATCTTTCAAATCGAGGAACTACCATTGGTCGTGTTTAAAATAAGACTTGTAGTTTACCAGCATTAAAAGTTCTTTGAACTGACTTTCTGAATTTCTTCGTAATTACTTCGCGCGGTATATTTCCCTTGAATTGCAGTCGTATGTATAAAAGCTTCTTGTTTACGGATAGTGACTAGTCCTTATCCGATTTCTTTTTCATGTGTTTCTTGATAAATTTTAAAATTTACAATAATATATTTCCATTGTTCAACTAATTTTTTCGTAAGCGTGGATACAATATGAGTTCAGATAGTCAAGATTTCCACTAACCATTATCATGACGAAGAAATCAAGGTTAATATTATTCACTGGAAGAACGTTTTCTCAAAAACAATGAAACCAATTAAACACTGCTGAATACATTCTTTTTCTAATAAAAATAAAGGATACTAGTGCATAACGCAGCACACGATCACTTACACGAATGTCGTTTTTCAAAATCTTAGGCCAGCTCAATTTTATAATCTGAAAGGATAAACAGAGTTGATAAGGACAGGTAAATGATTTTGCTAATCACCCTTCTTAACCACCGCTACAAACTAAATCAACAAATTACTTATTTTATCATCAAACTACCAACAATGCTTCAGGTGTACAATTTCACCTTCATCGCATTGTCCTGATTACCTTTCTTTCTAATAAATTATATTGTGTTTTCACTTTTTATCTCTATTCCAATTGTTTCTAAATGATTCTTTGATGGGTTTTATGGCAGCTTGAATTATTTTACAATAACAAGAAGTTTTATCAAGAACACATTACTCAGTGAAGAGATTTCTTTTCTTAACTTCTCTTAGAAGTCGTACACTTTGTATATACCATTTTAATTACCAATAAACATTAGAGGATATTCTCAGCTAGTAACAAAGATAAATCAGACAGAATGAGAAATAGCAAAGTATAAAAAATAGCGAATAATCTCCCGTAATCAAAAAGGTTGACAAGCAATTAATTAAGTGATGAATATTTATTCAGAGATAACCGATAAGAAAGTAGACTATAAGGAATTGGAAGTCACTGATGAAAACAAATTACGCTTAAATTGTTATGCGACGGATGAAAATAAAACTAACTCTTCATCCTTGGTAGCAAAACAGTGTGGACCAAAAGTTTTTGAACACAAGTTCAGGTTTTTCTTTGTGGTATTTCATCTGAGATTCGAAACTAGCACATTTCTTTTCAAACACCACGATTATGTTAACCTCAAGATATTATTGAAGCGTCAGTATTAGGTAATGAATGATATGTAGACGAATTGTGAGTATTTTGGTCCGATAAAATCAATCAAAGAAGAGTTTAAAAATATCTTCCATAAATAATAACACTAATAACTCGGTTTTCAGTAACGCCTTAGTTTTACCCAGAATAAAGATGGATGGTTTTGGATGGTGGTTACACCATGCTACAATAAAACTAATTTCCAGCTAGTACGTAGCATCATAAAGAATAATAACATGCTCATCAGAAAGCGTAAAGATAGTAGATTAGATTCCTTTTTAGGGTTCACATCATTGAATGTACTTACTAAAAGTATATGTATCATATTCATAATGCCTGTAAACTAGCGTCCCTCATGTACAAAAAATGAGAATTTATTATTATTACTATTATTATTACTATTGAAATGCTGGAAACTGGAACCAGAATACATTCCGTGAAAGAGCAAGGGTTGAAATAATGTATCACTAGCTCATTGCTAATTTCAGCTTTGAAACATTTATCAGTAGTTTTGGATAATTTTATTTGATATAACATACAGTGATACCGTATTAGTAACTGGATAACGTTTCGAGTATAATTTATTATTCATTATCATATCAGTGATTTAACACAACTTGATAACTCAATTTATATAGTCTTACTCTCTGCTGTGCTCAAATCCTACTCTTATGAGTACTTATTCAAACAGTCGACAACTAAATTTTCATGAGATAACGGTATAATGCATATTCTAGTGAAATAAAAACTAGATTAGTTTATTCTAATGTTTTGGGACTACCTAGAAACGTGTTTTGTAGTGTCATTCTCATGGTTGAAATTTCCATCGATCTCATGACTAGCTGTGTTGTCAACGAAATACATTTTTACTCATTCAGACTGTTAGATGAATGTTTCAATATGGAAGTTAGGGTGATAATAATAACAATAAGCGATTTGCATAAGCTGAAGGCATTTAAATGATTAACACTACATTATGGTGATTCACAAATTCTATTACTGTATTGTTTAAATACTTACTGTTGTTTGTTATTATTTATCATATGAATTACAAATAGTTCTCCCAAATACAAATTCCTACATTCATCCCTCTCTTTTGTTGGTTGATTTCCTATAATTCGGTTATTGTGAAATACTGCTATTACAAATAGTTATAACAGCACTCTTTAAGTGTACGATCATGTCTGATATGGTTATACGATATACTCAATTATCAAAATGTTTACTCGTTCTGATTTGTGAAACATATTCATCATAGCAGAAAATATCACGAAAGTGAGTTTTGTTTACTCAATTAAACTTAGTAAATAATGTGTATGGACAAAATCATTGCCTCCTAATAATCATGACATCAAATCTTACTGCAAAATTAGAATGAATATTAGACTATTATTGAATTGTATAACTAAAATGTTAAAAAGAAAGATATTAACCAGCTAAAATATGATAACTTTGTCTCCTCACTGAATAAATTACGAGTTTATAGGTCCTATCAAAATTTCATGCTAAAGAATACCGACTACTTGGCAACTTTACACGGGAGTCCATATGGTTTTTGTTATTAAGAGCAGCGGCGATGTAAAATGACTGACCCTAAAAAAAAACAAAGGCCGCAAATTTTACAGGTATCAGTGGTTTGTGAGATATATAACAGAAGGCAAATACTGAAGTCCTAGATCTGGAATTTGAAAAGATTTACATATACCCAATTACTGATAGGCATAACATTATTATGTGTTGATGGTTAGTTGAGGCCAGTTTTCAATCGATGGACAGACACCCTGACGGAGTGTATTCTAATCTCTTTCGGATGAACAAACGGTATACTGAATGAAAGTGTATCTCATGTAATTTCAACAGTCCATTATTGTGTCACTGATGTAAGAGATAGCATTACTCTCTGTGTCATGATCCAGGGCAATAACTCTGAAAAGAAAAGAAGACAAGGAATGCAGAAGCAGACAGTAAAGCCTGGTAATTTAAGATAAACAGCATTTAATCACATCTAACATCAAAATAACTACATTATTCATTTTATGTGGAAAAGTTAAACAATAGTTATGGAATCTCATAATGTCTACTCTAAAGAACAGTTAAATTGTGTAACAGGAATAAAGAGGTAGTGGCCATTAGCTGTTAGAAACAATATAAAGAGGTTATAGGGAAGAATATCAGATAACAAGTCAGAGGACAAGAATTATGTAGCAAAATGCAAATGTGTTAATAGTGTGTATATTGCAATGTGGACGTGTATAATTTCATCCATCTGTAGCGGTAAATAATTCCCCAAAATTATAAGCCACAGCATTCATCACTGAACATTGGATGCTGACCCTCACTGTTTAAGTCAACTTGTTTAGTTGAAGGCTTCCGGTCAAGCATCCATGCCATTCGGTACTCCGTCGTGTCACATTCGTTCGTTCGTGCACGATCCCTAGCTGGCTAAGCAATCATCTCGCGCTATGATTTGGTCCCGAAATATATCTCTTAATTTGGATGATTAATTATTGTGTTTTGCTTTGCCTTCGGTCTGTGTGGAACGAATACTATAGAAGTTGTGGGTATTAGATCTTGCATTAGTGTACTTCGTACTATCCATGTACGTCAATGCCGTCAGCGTCTAAACATCTGAAACAGCGACTTCATACCACGTGCTTCCATTATAAAAGGGAAATACTTTAGCTCTGGTTAGCGTGCTGTTTTCTTCTGTATTTTATACGCCTGCTTCAACTTTCAAAAAAAGTACAGAAACACGATGACAAACTGAACGGCTAATACAGCATTTAAAGTCTACTTTTTAAAGACAAAGTAGTGAAAACGAAGAGGAAAAACAAAGGTATCAAATAAACACACCACAGTGGTTGGCTGTATATTTATTTCTTCCTTTT